ACAACAAATGGGAAAGAAAATATGGGCTTGGGAGGCCACCTGATACACTGCGCTTACCGGTATGGGGCTCACTAGACGGATTGACTGCGCTTTGTCACATTTTTTGGGGAGGCTTGTGTTTGGCAGTGGCTTTGTGGATTGGTTAACATTAGCTTCGACGACTTTCTTTCTTCTCTTTCATGGGCCCGTAAAAATCCAAAGTTGGACATGGGACATTCTCTGTTTGGAATTAGCCTTCGTGGAACTTCGCATACAGATCAACGGTCACAGTACTAGAAGTGTCACTTTTGTTGCTGCTGACCATCGCCGCCGAGACCGGTGTATATATTCATTATTTAAAGCCATTTTCTGGTCGTCGCCTCACACGATACCGCAGCGCAATTATTTGCTTCCAACAGTTTTCTGATATGATCGCCGTGGTCGATTATATTTAGTGGGTGGACCATGGAAGGCCATGCTCCTTCGAAGGCCGATTATTAAAATGTCGTGGTTACTGCCATGTGATGACAAATTCCTTCTACTTACACAAACACCCATCGTACTGAAAATCACAGACGCGGCGACGAATCGCTCGCGTTACTATTATTTTGGCACTAGGGTCCCTGGCTTCATTCGGGAATCGACGACGTTAAAATAAGGTGTTAATATGTTACGTAATAAAACAAAGTATTACTGAAATATTGGTTAGTTTAATTTATCCAGTAAATAAACGAATAATAACTGTTTGTTAGAGAGACCTTCCATGATACACTCACCTTAGTATATTAGTAATAATATTTAGAGTCTAATTCGCAGTAAAAAAATAAAACCACGTTATTTTAACTTTTGCTTCTTTATAAATTGATTTTTTTTTGCTTCTCAGCGAAGCCCCGAAAACTCCGAACGTTTTAATTAAGGTTACTTCATCGTCAAAAGGACGCTGAGGTATTGTTTTCGAAGAACAAGGGATTAACTTTGTTGTTAATGTAATAATTTTGTTTAGTATTTTTAAAATAACCTTCTTTAGCATAATGTGATTTGTCCCTAGATATTACAGAATCCTGGGCACATTGTGTCTGGGATCGACCCGCGTTATTTAGCGGCGTATACTAGCGGCAGCGCCACTTATATAGCAACAGGTAATTATTTCATTTTCTTAATTCATTATGCTTAAAAATAACGACACTAAAGCAGAATTTTTATAAGCATCTAGGGTCTCTGAGTAAAACTGCGGTCAGACGTACATGGCAAAACTATAAAAGCTTCTTTGTTGTTTAACTACGGAACAATAAAAACGAATAAATAGTTCTAGTTAATCAGCACGTGAACAAAATGTTATATTAAATAACTATCATATCTCTCCACTATACTTAGATCTGTCGTCAAGCAGCAGTTCATTTTACTGTTGTGTTCTGGTTTAAAGAGTCCATAGAGTAAGTATATTATCAGGCTGCGAGGCGTTCCATTTTAGTTATTACGGGCAGTGCTTGATGAGTTCCGACAGCTCTAAGCTAACTAAGGTAAATATGTTCTCCCTCTCCACCACCGACCCATTCTGTCTCTGTCTGTCTCACGATGAATATATCTACTGAACTATTATATATTACACTAGCTTACCACCCCGCGGTTTAGCTCAAGTTAAATCAAATTTTCCTGATAGTAAGTATCGACCATCACCCATGAACAACTGCAATACCAGGGAAATATCAGGTGTGATTAAAATTTAAAAGGAATTAAAAGGAGTAAGCTCGTTTCTTAAAGGTCTCTAAGTCATATCAGTCCGCAAAAATCGCCAGTAGTAAATAATTCTACAATGAAGTCTTGCGAGGAAGAAAACTCCTAGTAAATCGTAGTCATGTTCAACCACAAAGCATACAGATAGCGTGGATAGTACGTGAGTTTTGTCACGATGTGCATTTGTAGAATTTGACAACTGGAATTAATTCGGATAATTTGTCTATGAGTAGGAAAGTATATCCCTTCGGAAAATGCGAATGAAAATGTCATGGCATATAATATGTCTTCGCAACGCCAGTGAATGAGTTGATGAGAAAGAAAGTCGTCAAAGATTTGAGCCACTCTTCGCTGAATGCGGGTAAGTTAAAGGATCTGGCACTCCATGCGAGGGCAAACTTGCATCTTATGTCGTTGCAAACGGTGTGCCAGCATGAAATACTGTTCTGTTTTGCTGAGCATGCCAAGCTTTTTAGAAGCCAATTTAGCCTTCTCTTCCAAGTGACCGCGGGTCTGTACGTCATTCAATACGTCGATGCCAAGGATTTCAATGCTGGCTGAGGCGCTTGGGAAGTGCCCTATAATTGAAGAGATACGACAAAAGGGTTCTTTTTAGCAGTAAACGTACCAACCTGTGACTCCTGAAGTTAAAACTACTAATTTCGTCCCCAATCTGGGATTTTGTTTACCAAAGCTTCTACTTCAGACAAAAGTTTGGTTCGATTACGTATTCGAGAGAAATATTAGCACGGCCGGTGTAAAAAGCATCATCAGTGTTAAAACCAGTAGCAGCAACATATAATTGATATACAAAAGAAACAGCGTAGCTGATAGCACGCAGGCTCGTGGAAAACTAGCATTAATAGGTGTGGGAACACAAAAAACTTTTTTCAATTGCAAAATTTCCCAAGAAGCACTTTGTGCCCAAAGCCCATCGAAGGCCTTCACTATGTCCAAATTAATGACCAAGACCTCCCTTTTGCACTCTTCTGCTTCCACTTATCTACGAGTCAAGTAAATTAGAAGATTAGAACTAGAACAAGCTAATAAGTGACCGCCAATGCGGTGGTTCTCAAGGTAACTCATGAGCTGGCAGTTTATAATGGATTCCATTATTTGGAGAACAAAGGCGATGGTTATAAATAAACCTATAGTTGGACGAGTTTGAGCGGTCGCCATAAGTTCATGATTATCGGAACTGGATATTAGGAACCGGTGCCAACTCCAGACCATCCATTTTCAGCACAATAGAAGGGACTCCATCAGGCCCACTCAACTTGTTGACGTCCAGGGAGAGAAGTGAGCACTGTGTAAACCGCAAATTCAGCAATCACATCGCGAGATGGTCTTTGCAGTGATGGAACCGATGGCTGACAGAAGTTTCTTGGTATAACCTTGGTAAAACTTAAAAAAATTAGAGTTAGAGAAGAGAGCTTGAACAGTTTAAAATTTTAAATCACTTCCAGTCAGTCAACGTAAGACGAAAGGTACTAAACAATTCAAATCCTTGTTTTAACAATCTATTTATTTGGTATATACAAAAAATAAAGAAAGAGAAAGTAAAATTCTTGTGGCACTTACTCTATTATTAATTGAGAATATACCAAATTTTATTATATACATAAGTGGTGCTAGAAAAGGTAAGCTTACCGCTCCCCCGAACATTGCGCTCTGGGCTCCAGCCTGATTAGCCTATGGGTAAATCAGGCCCTGATTACAGTTAACAACGCACTTAGCAGTAGCTGACTTTGTTTAAATGCTTACTTTGTTTAAATGGTTGTAGGAGGTAGAATTAATGTCTGATCCGCGTTACTTTAACGTTGAAAAAAGTTATGTATTTCTGATCGTTTTTTTTATAGATTTAGGGTGATAAACGAGCACGCAGTCCACCTGATGGTAAGTGGATGTTGTAGTCCATAGACATCTACATTTATCCTCGATTAAGAATCAAAACGCACATTCGTTGTCGACCCCTGAAGACTAAGATGGAATGCCTCGTTTCCAGTAAAAAAGTATCTCCGAATCTCTACACTCACCATACTAGGCACAGTAGTATTAAGCTGCTATTTTACGCTGGTATTCTTTGAGAGCGTGGTCCTTCCCCGGTCGAGCCAACCCATTCGTGCCACAACCATAATATAACTGCGGCGTGACTCTACGACGTACAAAATTATTATTTATATAGAATGACGATACAACAACTTCTGATTACTTTCAGATTACAACTGGCCATGAAATATTAAAATTCACTATTTGTCTGTGGTAGTCCCGCTGCAAGCTCCAACTATATTACGGCTGCACATGAAATTTTATTTATTTATAGGAGAAGGGATCAGCATCATCATCATCTGTACAGTCATTAAAAGTCCACAGCTGAACACAGACCCCCTAAGGAATAGAGGAAGGAATACCATCGTGAAATAGCAACATTATATAAAATGTATAGAGTCGATGACGGCCCTGTTGCTGCAGCCATTGTAATATTCATTATAAGATTATATATATATATATATATATATATATATATACAATATGTAACGTAATTAACGCACACCCTCAGACACCCCAATTCGTATATTATGTCCTTTTTATCTTTTATCTCTTGTGATTCATTTTGCTGTGGCAATGAATACACACTGGTATTATTTCCTTTTTTACATGATACTGTTGCGTTTCGTACATTACCAAACACTGCTTTCTACTAGCAAAGAAGTTTTCATCTTCATCCTCAGGAATGACAAAGCATCTGTTCTGGTTCTTAACTAAGGGAAATGTAGGTATCATCCCCATTCCATTAGCCACATTTATATGTACACAGGACGCAAGTTTGTAGCTGCTTGATATAAAGCTCAAACGACGATCACTCTCGTTCTACCCTTTTCTATTATATAAATTTAAACCTGTCAGAAATCGAGAGGTGGCTTTGCTACTTTCGAAGTGGGGCTTAAAATAAATAGTATACTGTAGCTCTCTCAGTAGGAATTGAAAAATATTTTTCATGCGTTAAAGAAATGGCAATTTCTTCACCCTCTAATACGGGGTTGATTAGCGTTTAAAAATACGTTCAATTCAATTTAAGTAGCACTGGCGGGAGTCGAACTCGGGTGGTTTGTGGAAATTTTAAATGAGCGTCCTGCCTCTGAGATATAATGACGATGCTCATGTTGAAAACTATAATTAATTCAAAACTGAATATTTTACTAGTGGTTGATATTTACTACACTGACACTTATTACTGACATTTAATAACAATATCTTTGTTTGAAATAGGTCAGGAAGAGATTCAAATGCAACAAAATCTTACTAATCCAGAGACTACAGATAGAGTGATCTATGGTCAATACCAAAATAAAAATTTTGTCGGACCGGAAAAACCCACACCTAGAAAATATGTGCCTCAAATTACTGGAAAAGGTACTGATTTCTTAAATTTACGCGAACACTACACATTGAATAAAACTATTATTTACGGATTTTATCGCGTTTAATTACTTTAATTTATTTTTATTATTATCCCGACGTTTCGGGTGCTTTACAGCGCCCATGGTCACGGGGGGGACTGAGATGTTTGACGTCCCAATGTCATAGTTAGTCCGGCTACCTTCAGTTTTTTAATATTAATTTTTGGTCCGATTTACGCAAAACGAGCTTATAGTATCATGAAGTCTTGCAGTGGTATGCTTGGGTTTGGGTTTAATTTTGTTAATTATAGGATCCCAAGCAGATGGTAGCACCCAACCATCTTCTCTATTGAAATTTGGATGTTTTTTAATTTCAATAGCCTCGCGTATCATCCTTGGTAGGAATCGGTGTTCTTTTGCGAGAATTTGTGGTTTATCAAATCTAATGTAATGGTGGGGACGATCTTGAACATGTTCGCAGACTGCAGACTTCCCGGAGCGTCGGTGCTTCACATCAGCTATATGTTCCTTCACGCGGGTTTTTATAGATCTCTTTGTTTGACCTATGTAAGAGAGACCACATTCACAATCTAGCTTGTACACACCTGCATCTTGTAGAGGAATATTACATTTGATGGATGGTAAAAATTGACTAATCTTCTTCAGCGGCTTGTAGTATGTCTTAATGGACGCTCGCTTCAAGATGTAGCCAATCTTGTCCGTGACTCATCTAACATATGGTAGTAGAGCAGGCGCGCGCTCGACTGTGGCCGGCTTCACTCGTTCACTGTGACGTAGGCGCGGGACCCGAAGCTTGTTGTCTTGCAATACTTGCTTGACGTGCTGAAGCTCCGCGGCCAGATGTTTTCTGTCACAGATCCCTCGTGCTCTCTGAAACAAAGATTTACCCACGGTAGCTAACTGTGAAGGATGATGGTGAGATTCACCATTTAAATATCGGTTGGTATGGGTCTTTTTCCTATACACAGTGTGACCAATAGTGTTATCAGGATTTCGGATGACTAAAACATCTAGGAAAGCTAAAGAATTATTTGCCTCTAACTCCATTGTGAATTGTTTTGCGTAAATCGGACCAAAAATTAATATTAAAAAACTGAAGGTAGCCGAACTAACTATGACATTGGGACGTCAAACATCTCAGTCCCCCCGTGACCATGGGCGCTGTAAAGCACCCGAAACGTCGGGATAATAATAAAAATAAATTAAAGTAATTAAACGCGATAAAATCCGTAAATAATAGTTTTATTCAATGGAAAAGGTACTGTTAACCATTGTAGTTAGGAGCATGAATTTAGTAAATAATAATTATTATATTTCTTCTGCTTTACTTCAAAAGCAAAAGCAAAAGTTCCCCCGCAGGACATGGGCCTCTCCTATTACATTTTGTAGGGAAGATTTGATATGCTAATCACGCGTGGAAATCTGATATATGGTTGAAGGACCAGATGCTTCGTACCTCTGACATTGCTCTGTACTTTACGCGTGGCGTAAATAGTTGGTTATATTGCCATCGGTCATTCATCATAAGATTTTTTGGAAATTACTACAATTACCTGTACGATACGACACACGCGGGATGAAATAGAACAATGGATACTCTTGAGCCGCCTCCACACAGTACTTTTGCACACATCGAACGCGAAGCGGAGATGTACCTAGTGCTCAATTTTCACCAAAGCAATAAATCGCGATCTACTCAATTTAAATTACTTCCACCAGTTTTATATTACACTAAAATAATAAAAAAGTACACCAATAGTAAGAGGAGATTTTAATTAATACTTATGACGTAGCTATAAGATTATTTATTTCGATTATTATTTAGTTAACTTTTAATTGAAAATAATGTCATTTGTACGTCAGTTAGTCGGTATACATGTGAACAAGATATCTTTTGAATAATTGAACTAATCACTTCTTCTTTAGTTTATTAGCATTGGATTTTTATCCTTAGGAAGCCTTTTAAATTTAACTTTTGTAAACCGTCCCGTTCATTAACATTTGACAATGTTTTTCGGTAGCAAAATACGAATCACCGACATAAAGCCATTTTGACATGCGATTACTTTCCTTTTTCAACTGACCATGATATATTAAAATTAACTATTGGTCTGTGAGAGTCACGCTGCAACTATATTATGGTTGCACATGATTTTTTTATTTATAGGAGAAGGAATCAGCATCATCATCATCTTTACAGCCATTACAAATCCACAGTTGAACATAGACCCCCTATAGAATAGAGGAAGGAATACCATCGTGAAATAGCAACATTACATACAACATAAATGTTGAGTCGGTGACGGTTTCGTTGCTGTAGCCCAATATTCATTATAAGATTTTTTCGTCCTTTTTATCTTTTATTTTTTGTGCATTTTGCTGTGGCAATAAATACATAACGGTATTATGTCTTTATTAACATGATACTGTTGTGTTTGGTATAGTACCAGACACTCCTTTTTACTGGCAAAGACGTTTTCATCTTCGTCCCCAGGAACGACAAAGCATCCGCTTTTGGTTCTTAACCAAGGGAAATGTAGGTACGTAGAGGTCACTCAATTAGTTTTGAGATGCTCGAAATTTAAAAATGGAACGCACCCGTGTTATATGTTTCTAAAAAGAAAATTTATTTAAAAATAGAACTCCATAAGCCAATTATTCAATATTTAAGAAAAAACAAATTTCTGTTAATTTCCTGCAACGTATGCCGCGCTGTTCATTTAAAACGATTGATCTTAACCATGAACATTTCCACACTATGATCTATTATGACCGAACAATTAAGTTTACAACGGTTAAAATCAGCATTAGGGGACCCAGATCCATCACGCACAATATTTTTCAAGTGGTTTGCTTAATTTAGAAGGGGTAAAATTAACCTTAAAGATGACCAAAGAACCGGGACCCGCAAACAGCAGTAACGACAGAAAATGTATCGTACGAATTACATATACGGATATCGAAAAGATTGTAGGCATTAGTTCGGGGAGCATTCATACCATCCTACATCAACATCTTGGAGTGAGGAAGCTTTGTTGTCGATCGATCCCTCGTTTGCTCTCCGAAAGCGAAAAACAGACTCATGTGGATTGGTGTTTCAGAAATCGTTACTGGTGACGAGACATGGATCTATCAATATGGTCCGGAAAATAAAAGGCAATCATCAGTATGGGTCTACTCAGAAAGACAGTTATCGACAAAACTGCTAAGACCTCGCAACGTCGGCAAAAAAATGGTGGATAGCTTTTTTCGCGGAGCGGACATTTGTTGACGTCAATGCTGGAAAATTGTAGGTCAGTCAACTCTGAATGTTAAATTACAGTTGCATTACCCAAAGCTTTTCAAGCTGTGCGGGAGAGAAGACCAAAGACCGGGCTTCGGGGAATCATGCTGCATCACGATAACGCCTTTTCACATACCTCCCTTAGAACAAAAGCATTTATTGAGGAATCTGGTATTGAAACTCTAAGCCACCCACCCTATAGCCTTGACTTAGCTCTTTGTGATTTCTTTTTGCTCCCAAGAGTCGAAAAAAAAGACAAATTTTTTTAAGCACCGAAGAAGCCGTGGCTGCCTACAAAGAAGCGATTTCCGACCTGCCAGATCAAGACTGTCAAAAGTGATTTCAGACTTGGTTTAGGCGAATGGAACTTTGTGTAGAGCATGATGGAGAATATTTTGAAAAGATGTAAAATAAATATTAATAGTATCTAGAATACTTTTTGTATATCTCAAAACTTATTGAGTGTCCTACGTATCATAAGGAAACATCATCCCACCCCCATCCCATTACCCGTATTTATGTGTACACATGACGCACGCTCAAACGATGATCACTCTTATTATACCTTGGTGGATTGAAAAGTACTCGGCCTAATACAGATCCATTCAATTCTAAAAATCAAATCTACCCACATTATTTAGTTCAGTTCAGACTAGTTCATTGTGTGAAGTTCGAAACGTGTGCGATAATTAGTTGTGATTTTATAAATTTATTAACAAAGTAATCGGACATAATTTCCGCGAATGGAGCAAATCGAGCAGCGTGCCGTCATTAAGTACCTCCATAAGAAGGGGCTATCATCAAAAGCCATCCATGATGACATGGTCAGTACATTAGGCGATTGTGCTCTGTCATATTCATCCGTCAAAAAATGGATAGCAGAATTTAAGCGTGGTAGAGAGAGTGTGAAAGATGAACCCCGCTCTGGAAGGCCTTCGACGTCAACTACTGACGAAAATATTAAAAAAGTACTTGATTTAATAATGGGAGACCGCAGATTAAAAATTAGAGAGATAGCCGAGATTATAGGCATCTCTTACGAACGAACTCAAAACATCATTGTCAACGAGTTGGGTTTCCACAAGGTGTCTGCGAGGTGGGTTCCGCGACTGCTTTCAGTTGAACAAAAAAAGGACGCGATTGACTATTTCACGCGACTGTTTGGAGTTATTTGAAGCCGATGCAGATGATTTTTTGAATCGTTTTGTTACTATGGACGAAACATGGGTTCATTACTGTACACCGGAAACAAAACAACAATCAAAACAGTGGAGAAGACCTGGTTCACCACCCCCTAAAAAGGCTGAGTCGATTTTGTCGGCAAATAAGGTGATGGCTTCAGTATTCTGGGACTCGAAAGGTGTGATTATGATTGATTATCTTGAAAGGGGTCAGACTATAAACTCTGATTACTACTGCACCTTACTACGTCGTTTACGAGAGGAAATAAAAGAAAAACGTCGAGGAATGCTCAGAAGAAAAGTCCTGTTTCATCAAGATAACGCCCGTGTTCACACGTCAGTACAGTCAATGGCTGAAATTCACAACTGTGGCTTTGAACTGTTACCGCATCCGCCGTATTCACCTGATCTGGCACCATCAGACCTCTTTCTGTTCCCTAACCTAAAAAAGCACTTGGGAGGTCAAAGATTTTCGACAAACGACGAGGTCAAAGCAGCTGTAGACGCATATTTTGACTCTAAGGAAGAATCATTTTTTTTCAACGGTCTAAATGCTTGGAAGGGGAGGTGGCAAAAGTGTATTGCTCTAAGGAAGAATCATTTTTTTTCAACGGTCTAAATGCTTGGAAGGGGAGGTGGCAAAAGTGTATTGAACTTGATGGTGATTATGTAGAAAAATAAAAATATAACTGATTTAGTATGTGTTTATTTTCTTGGTTAGGCCGAGTACTTTTCAATCCACCCTCGTACCCTTCCATATTCTACAAATTTAAACTTGTCAGAAATTGATAGGTGGCTTTGTGCCTTACACTATGTCCGAAGTGGAGCTTAAAGTATGTTGTAGCTCCCTCACTAGAAATTGATAAATATTTTTCCCATGTCACCATTACTTCACCCTCTAACACGGGGTATATTAATTTTTAAAAATACGTTTACTTCAATTTCAGTAGCGCCAGCGGGAGTCAAACACGGGTTATTTGTGGAAATTTCAAATGAGTGTCTTGCCTCTGAGCTATAATGACGATGCTCATGTAGAACAATAATTAATTCATTAATGTACTGTATCGAAGTCGAATATTTGAATGTAATAGTTTTGAAAACCTAACTGAATATTTTGCTAGTGGTTGATAAATGACGCGGCCACATTGACACCTGAACAAAAATTATGAAAAAAAAATGAATAGGAAACGATTACATTTAATAACAATATCTTTGTTTGAAATAGGTCAGGAACAGATTCAAATGCAACAAAATCTTATTAATCCAGAGACTACAGATAGAGTGATCTATGGTCAATACCAAAATAAAAATTTTGTCGGACCGGAAAGACCCACCCCTAGAAAATATGTGACTCAAATTACTGGAAAAGGTACTGTTAAGCATTGTAGTTAGGAGCATGAATTAAGTAAACAGTTATTATTATATTTCTTCTGCTTTACTTCGTCATCTCGCAAAAGTTCACCGCAGGACATGGGCCTCTCCTATTACATTTTGCAGAGAAGATTTGATATAATAATCACGCGTGCAAATCTGATATGTGGTTGAAGGACCAGATGCTTCGTACCTTTGACATTGCTCTGTACTTTTCGTGTGGCGTAAATAGATGATTAAATTGCCATCGGTCATTCATCATAATCTTTTTTGGCATTTACCATAACTACCTGTTATAGTTATACCACACACACGAGATGAAATAGATCAATGGATACTCTTCAGTCGCCACCACACGGTACTTTTCACACATCGAAAAATTTGAAAAAATTTTAGCATTTTTTGCGATCCACTAAATTTAAATTACTTCCACCAGTTTTATATTGTATTAAAATAATAAAAAAGTACACTAATACCAAGAGGAGATTTTAATTAATACTTCTGAAGTAATTGTAAGAATTTTTATTTCGATCATTATTTCATCATCATCATCATCATTACAGCCCTTCACAAGTCCACTGCTGAACATAGGCCTCCCCCAAGTAATGCCACAAAGCACGGTCCTGAGCCACCTGCATCCATCGACTTCCTGCATGTCTTACCAGGTCGTCACTCCATCTAGTGGGGGGTCGCCCTACACTACGCCTACCGATACGAGGCTGCCACTCGAGAACCTTTCTTCCCCATCGGTTATCGGTTCTTCGAGCTATATGGCCGGCCCATTGCCACTTCAGCTTACTAATCCGTTGGGCTATGTCGGTCACTCTGGTTTTACTGCGGATATCCTCATTTCTGAGTCTATCACGCAGAGAAACTCCGAGCATAGCCCTCTCCATAGCTCGCTGAGCGACCTTAAGCGTCCTCATACGGCCAGCAGTGAAGGACCACGTCTCAGATCCGTAAGTCATCACTGGCAACACGCACTGGTTGTACAATCTAGTTTTTAGAGATTGAGGTATACCTGACGAAAAGATATGCCGTAATTTCCCGAACGCTGCCCAGCCGAGTTGAATCCGTCGATTGACCTCTCGGTCGAAGTTGGACTTACCTAGTCGGACTATTTGTCCCAGGTAAACGTATTCGTCAACAACTTCGAGCATAGTGCTCCCAACAACTACCGGCATAGGTGTGACATGGACATTGAACATGATCTTTGTTTTGTCCATGTTCATCTTAAGACCTATCTGTTGGGAGGCACTATTGAGGTCATTGAGCATAGTGCTTAAGTCCTCCAGCGATTCTGCCATAAGTACTATATCGTCGGCAAATCGAAGGTGAGTGATGTACTCGCCATTGATGTCAATACCGTATCCTTTCCAGTCCAGTAGCTTGAAAACGTCTTCCAATGCAGCGGTGAAGAGTTTCGGGGATATAACGTCACCCTGTCTTACACCTCTCTGCAGTTGGATAGGTTTCGAGCTCTGGTTCTGTACTCGGATAGCCATCGTAGCCCTACTGTACAAACACTTCAGCACTTCGATATACCGACAGTCAACTTGGCACCGCTGAAGGGACTGTAGCACCGCCCAAATTTCGACGGAATCAAAGGCTTTCTCATAGTCCACATACGCCAGACAAAGTGGCAGATTGTACTCTTCAGTCTTCTGTACAATCTGCCGCAGGGTATGTATGTGGTCTATGGTACTGAAGCCTTTTCGGAAACCGGCTTGTTCGGGAGGCTGGAAGTCGTCAAGTCTGCGTGCGAGACGATTCGTAATGACTCTCGAAAACAGCACGTAGACGCGGCTCAGAAGGGAAATCGGTCTGTAGTTCTTTAAGAGAGCGTTGTCGCCTTTCTTAAAGAACAAGACCACCGCACTTCTGCTCCACGCCTCTGGAGTAGTGCCACCATGGAGGACGGAATTGAAGAGCTTCTGAAGGACTTCAAGTACCGGTGTTCCACCCGCTTTCAGAAGCTCCGCTGTAATTCCATCCTCGCCTGAGGCCCTGCCGTTTTTAAGGTGCTGGAGAGCCATTCTAATCTCGCTTAGACTGACGTCCGGGATATCATCGGAATAGTGTCGGATAAGACTTGCTCTTGGATCGTTACTCACACTTGCGTGTGGCTCCAACGATGATGTGTACAGCTGCCCATAGAACCTCTCAATCTCACTCAAAATCTCAGGTGTCCCGGAAACGATGTTGCCACACTCAGTCTTCAGCCTTGACAGTTGGCTCTTTCTGGCAGACAGATCTCTGGCAAAGACTTTGGAGCCCTGGTTCCGCTCGATCGCTTCTTTAATACGAGAAGTATTAAAGTTGCGTAAGTCTCGCCGTATGCATTTGGAGATCTGTCTGTTCAGTTGCCTGTATGCTGTCAAATCTGTTGACGATTGCAGCCTCATCTCCCGTCTAACAGCCATGAGATTAAGAGTGTGATCGGAGAGTTTTTGTGTTCTTCTGCGGCGGGTCTTGCAGAACTTAGCTCCGACCGCATGGACAGTTTCCACGAGCTTGTCGTTCATATCGTCCACTGCATTGCAATCTTCTAGGCACTGGAAGCGGTTACGTAACTCGAGCTGAAAGGTTTCGGGATTCTGGATTAGAGCACGAGGGGGACGGAGCGTTGACTTCATTAGACGAGACCTCTCCAACTTAACGTTTAGGTTCAGTGTGCCTCTAACCATTCGGTGATCGCTGCCAGTTTTCACCCTTGCGATCACTGAGACATCACTGAACAGTTGGCGTCTGGTCGTCATAATGAAGTCAATCTCATTTTTTGTCGAACCGTCGGGGCTCGACCAGGTCCACTTCCTGTGGGGCCGCTTCTGGAAGAAAGAGTTCATCATAAAGAGTCCCTCTTTCTCCATAAAGTCGGCCAGCTGCTGGCCCCTTCGGTTCCGTTGCCCTACTCCAAATTTCCCTACCTTCAGCTCACCGCTTTCTCTTGTGCCCAGTTTTGCGTTGAAGTCTCCCATCAACACCGTGTAGTAGGTTTTGGAGGAATGTATGGCTCTGGAAATATCCTCATACATTTCCTCCACCTCCTCATCGGGATGTGCCGAGGTTGGTGCGTAAACCTGAATGACCTTCAGCGAATACCGTTTGGTGATTCTGAGTATCAGGTACGCGACCCTCGTCGACACACTCCCAATCTTTACAACGTTGTTGACGAGAGATTTGTGGACGATAAATCCGACACCTCCTTGGGACAGATGGTCGCCCTCCCGGTGATAGAACAAGTTGCCGGACTCGAGGATTGCCGTGTCCTCCCCCTCTCTTCGGACCTCGGATAATCCAATAATATGCCAGCGCAACTTGTCTACCTCTTCTTCCAGCTCCAGTATCTTCTCGTCAGTCCTCAGGGTGCGTGCGTTATATGTTGCCAGGTCGAGTCGTCGTAGGTGGCAACCGAACCTCCACCGGAGATTCTTAGCACCCCCTGCCCCGCCGTTACCATGGTCGCCACCGTAGCCAGGAATAGCGGGGCCGCCGGGGACTGGGGGCCGTCTGTTTGTGTATTTATTCATTGGGGGGTATTTGCCATAGTTGCCACGCTTGGCGAGCGGGTTGGCAACCGCAGTTTTTTATTACGTCACAGTTGTCATCAGGACGACGCTGCTGCCCATCTCCTGCCTGTCTCCCTCTGTCGCCTCTTACGACACCCACGGGAAGATATGGGGTAGTGGATATTCTTAACCGCCACTACACGGCTTCATCATTATTTAGTTCTTTTAATTGAAAATAATTTTCACTTGGACGTCAGTTGGTTGGTATCGATGTGAACAAGATATCTTTCGAAAAACTGTACTTATCATTTTAATTTTATTTTATTAGCTTTGGATTTGAATCCTTAGGAAGCCTTTTGAATTTTACTATTGTAAACCGTCCCGTTTAAAGGTTTTTTGGTAACAAAATACGAATCACTGGCATCAAGCACTCAAAAAAGTATTTCTTTGAAAGTTACATTTAATTACTTTTATTTTTATATTAAACATTAAAAAAAATTTGTGGCTTTAAACTAAATACGTCTTTCGGTAATTAATAAAAGTAAATTGATTATTCAAATCATTACATGAGCGGTCGAGTTGTGTGCTTTTGGATTTTTTTTATTTATTTATTATTTAATATGTTCATTTATTTTTGTAGAATCGTCAAAGCAAGTGATCCCATCGAAACAATCCAACATTTATGGAAATAAGCAACAACCGCTGAAAATTCAAGAAGAAAGAAATCTAAAACCTCTACAGATATCTTCTAATGGTAATTCCTAAAAATACTGTCTATTTTAGAAAAAGAAAGTGGCTAGGTTTTTGCCCCGCGGTAACACTGCGTCCTAGTTTAACGTCCGGAGAGTCATGACCCACGATTCTTATGAAATCACATAATACAAAGAGCTCAAACTATTGCATGAAAAGTTTTTCGAATTTCGGAGTGATAATGATTGCAGAATTTAAATTAGACTAAGGCTTGACGAATGGGGAAAACAACTCTAATAATATTTCCCTTATTATTTCAGTACATTCATTCTCCTTCTTCAATAAATCATTTACTGTTACAGCTGTAGCGGCTTGTAGAAATCCTGGCTTCTACGTATTCGACGTGCTCAATCCCTTTTTCCCTCTTTTTTATGTATTAAAACTTTAATATTTCCCATCATACTTACCTACCCTTTCTTATATCTATCATACTCTACTCAACTGTCATCATATTGTGTATACATTTTTATTTATTTTTAACTTAATTGTATATTTTGTGTACGCCTCCCATAGCCATTCAAAGGGCTTTTTGATCCAAAATATTTTCGGTAAGTTTTGAGTGAGTTTTCCTGTAATATAAAAACATCCCTCATACAAACCGTAACACTATTTTAATTTCTTAGGTGTTTCTAAAATATTTGCTTACCACACGGATTTGGTTACAGATGTCTATGTGCCTACGTAGATAATAAAAGAAACCTTCACTTTTTACCTTCTAGCGTTTTGGTTTAAGCCATATTCCGGTTTGATGTGTCAGAGAGCGTGTCAGGCTGTAAAGCATTTGATTTTGAGGTTTTTCGTCCTCAGGATATGTGGCCTTCTTAGCTTGAAATTGGTAGCCACAGCTATGGGCTATGAGTTGTAGTCGCCACTTACCATTAGGTGGACTGCTTGCTTGTTTGTTAATTTAAGATTATACTTGCAAAAATACAAAAATATTAATTTAGGAATTGTTTCAAAAAATATTTTCTTGTTCATTACGTTAGAATGAACTCCTAATAATTGTTTACTGTTAAAATAACACCATCTTAATCGGTTTAATTTCTGTGTAAACTCAAACTTACAAAGTCGTAGCTCTGCACTTTTGCATTTGCTTATACACATTTTGGGGTACTTAACAGTATTGTTGTGAGCTTAAACCTAAAAGTTTTATTGTTTTTTTGGTTGTGCTGTTACTTCATTGTTGCTTTTAATGTTACAATTTACGTGCGTCCCATGTAAACTGTAATTTTACCTTTTCACCTCACACATCGGCACACAGCTTTAAATCGAACAAAGTTTGCTTGAACAATTAAAGTAGTTTTGTGTTCGTTTAAGGATAGCTGAGACGTAATGTTTTCGAGACGAGATAGTTAATTAGGAATTCCGTTCTTTGTGAGAGGGATTATGGGCAGGATCAACCCCAATGTGTATGTGCCGAGTTCACATATCCGCAAGTTAATTTTTACTAGTACCTTGAAACAAAGTTATCATGTAATATTATTATAACATGTAATTATTTATATTATACTAACTATAAGATGCTTACTGAAGAAATAGTCGCACGAGAAATATAGTTTTATATAACTGATAATTATGATTCATTCAACGAAACATTAATACGAAATGAACTTCTCACAAGGACTGTAAGTTTTTATATTTTTTTATTTCCTAGAGCAAGTGCAAAAGTCTTCAGACACTGTTTTCGCGAAGAATGATGCACAAAATCAATTTAGTACACGTCAGGACAAACTTAAAGTAAGTTTTCTGTTTTTTCATTATTTTATAAAGTGTAGATCGACGGCACAAGAAAATTAAAAACCCAAGCGCATCAACTAGTAACGGTTGTGCCACAGAACCTCCCTTAGCTTAGTATAATATAATAATATTAAATACGTTCAGGGTATGATCATGTTTTGTTTTTAGGAAAAGCCTATAAACAAAAACGTGGATAATAAAGAAAATTCATAATTTCATTTTTAGTGTCGTAAGGTGACGAACGGAATAATCTATCGACAAAGTTAATATCGAGATTGGTTAATGGAAACCAGGGCATAAGGTCAGGTTAGGGTTGTAGGATTAGCAAGCGAAGCCACACAAGGCGCCTTAGCGGTATCATTATAGCATTATAAGCTGCCATCTCTTGTTTTAGTTTCCCTCTGTCGCTTCTTACTGCACCTACGGGACAATAGGGGTAGTGGGTAATCTTACACCGCGACTTCAAGGTTAAAATGTGAAATTAATGACAACCAAAAAAAAGATTGTGTCAATCACGAAAACAATTGATGTTAGTACTTCTCCAGGCTGTGTGCTGTGAGCATTAGCATCACAACCCACCACAAGTTCTGCGTTGTTTTCGGGTGAGTTCCGCCACTCGCTCTAACTCGATGGCGTTGAGGATGGAGCTGAGTTCTCTTCGGGAAATAGGCTGATAAAATTATTATATTAACCTCTGTGCATCCGTTGAGATTTTTGAAGGCTACCAGGTTACCAGGTCGTCGTTGCAGTATTTTGGAACAGCTAAAAGTTCAATGACTCTCAGTTCAATTTTAGTGTAAATTATACAAGCTCTGGGTCTGCTAAAATTTTACCAGCAGCCGGCAATTTGAGAACTTGTTCGTTAGCCACTCAAGGCTCTTGTATGAGGGCAAGGTCAATGTTGCCCTCTGCAAAGTAAACCTTCACCACGGCAGAGAGTGTGCTGGTGAAGATTTGTGAAGGACCCTTAAATTTGTTGGCCATTTATAGGTGGAAGATTAAGGTGAGGCAGTTGGGGTAGTTCAGGCTCCATTACCGTGTCAGAGCCACCCTTAATTTCAAAAGTTATCACTTTAAAACCAAGGACGACTCAGCCGCCTGCCGCCCGGAGAGCCTTCGCCGATGGGCCGTCTAGAGAAAAGGTTACTAGGAACCCATTCTCCTCATCCCTTCGGTGGAGGATTTTCCAGAGCCCGGTATGGAACCCTTCATTTTGTGCCCTCAACAGCACAGCCGCAAGGACTGTAAGTTTTTATATTTTGTTTTTCTGACTCTCCAGAAGAGGAGGCACAGCCGCCTCTTCTGGAGAGTCAGCTTCGCTGCGGGGCGGATACGAAATTAGAAATAAGCAGACAAATGGTCGTCACTATCTTAGATCCTCTTTACCCGGCAATAGCGCGCATTATAAATTTTTCCCTTGACTCGGTGCAATATCCTAGTCATTGGAAAAAGGCTTATGTTAAGCCCAGTCCTAAGATACCTGCTCCTATCCTTCCCATCCATTTGCGCCCTATATCAATTCTGCCGTTCCTCTCTAAAGTTTCAGAAGCCTGTGTTCATAAGCAAATCACTACGTTTATCATGAAACATAACCTACTGAGTCCATTTCAGTCCGGGTTTCGTCCAGGTCACAGCACTACCACTGTTTCATCTGCACTCATCTTACCGGGTTCTATGGTAACTTTTTCACGGTTCAGGCTGCACTTCTCTGAAATTCCTTGCCTTGCTTGATGTTATCTGAAAAGCGCCTAACAAATACAGTTCGCGAGCATTTACTGAAGAATCATTAGAATTACAATATTGTTAAAAAGTCGTATTTTATATGCATTAACTTTGTATTTATGTATATTTATATCCATATACGTATATGTAAGTATGTTTATATAAGTACAAAAGTATTTATATTATGAATATGTGTTAATATATGTAAATGTACGAATATATATATATATATATATTTTATATATTACAATATGTAACGTAATTAACGCACACCCTCAAACACCCCAATTAGTATATTATGTTATAATCATAATACATACACTGAATTTTTAGTTAAACATTTTTATGCTCTGATTATTTATCAAATTAGTTATACTAATTCCGGAAGAATGTTGTGGTCACAGTACAAACCCACGAACGCAAAGACTTTAACTTATTGCCCTTGAGTTACGGTCCATTTCAGTTTGTTTTGACTGTACAGATTTAGTGTGACTGTAATATACGTAGTTTTAAATTATTTTTGGGATAAAAAATTACCTATATGAATTTTTAATAATAATTAAAAATGATAGGAATCGATTCAGTAAACGATTCTGAACAAACTACTTTCTCAAAGTGCGTTAATTATTTAACACGTTGTATGTATATATACAATAGTGTAAAAATAAAATTTTAGTTTATCTTTTTTTTTCTTTTCTTTTAGTTGCTACATCTATGACAAACTCTCAGCAGTCCGTGGGTTGACTGGTAGAGAATGCCTTTAGGCATTAAGTCCGCCCTTTGTATCCTTTTTTTCTTAGGATGCAATAAAGTTTAAAAAAATACGAGTATGTGATATCCAGCTGAGGCTTAGGCAGTCGCCCTCAGGTATTATTGAGGGCTCTCTGTCCGGGCAGGGTTTCAGTTTTCCGACTTCACTCACAATCCAGTCCTAACTTGCTTATTTATGCACGTTACAAGAATCTAACTTGCCTTGTGGGTGAAACCCGAACGTTTCGGTCCCGCTCCTGGCTGCGCCCCACAGGCTGTCTTAGCGATAGTCTGTGTTAGTGCCCGGTGGATCAGACGCATCTGCTCCACGCTCATAGGGTTCAAATTGCGAATTCCTACACGCGCGGAGGCAGTTACGGCACTAAAGCCGAGCTTCTTCTCCCCCGTTGCCAGCTTCACAGATTTCCTGGGCTGCTCTTTGGGAGACTTTTTTTCAGGCCGACTGTGTTTTTTGCCTTCGAAATCGGAGGAGGTTTGGGCAAAGGAATTTCGTCCTAGGGCTTCTAGCAGACAAAGTGGACCACTTCGGCTCCTATCTCAGTTGTTATTAGCTTCCTGAAACCTTTTCCGTGCTGTCGCACTAAGCCTGTGAGGCCTAGCGAACTTTTTTGTCCTTTCCCAAGTTTGTTTCCGATTGTGGTTCGGTTGCAGACGTGCCACTTTACGGCTTGCCCCAGGTTGGGGCGTTGATTTGCATGGTGTTGGTGAGGCTAAAATACACTCTTTCAAACCTGTAGACAGTTCCATTAAAGAAAAATTGAGTTTTTTAAAATGTCGATTATCGTCCATTTTGATCTCACGATTCGTTAAGAAAATATTTGGTAAAACCCCGGCAGAGCTCTGCATGCCCAGGAAATGGCTAAAATACTACCCGAATCGCTCTGGTCTTGCGTAGGCACCGTTTGCGACTGGACTCCCCCCAGCCACGCATCCAACGGCACAGTACGCTGAACAATTTGGATTGGGTTGGGATAGGAAAAGAGGGTGGTACGAAGGCACTGAAAATTTCGGGAATCAAGGAAGTGACACAACATTACTATTTAAAAATGTATTTATTGCTTTTCGAAGTATTCTCCGCGAAATTTGACACATTTTTCCATACGACGGAACCAATCATTGAAGCAACCATTCCATTCGGAAGTTGGGGTCTCCAAAATAGCCGTTTTGTAGGCGTCCACAGCTTCTTCAGGTGATGAAAATATTTGTCCACGCAATTTATTCTTTATTTTTGGGAAAGTTAATAATAAAATCATTGGGGCTTAGGTCGGGGCTGTACGGCGGATGGTCTAATAATTCTATGTTTTCTTGCTCTAAAAACTCTTTTGTTCTGTGCGCGGTGTGAGAACTCGCATTGTCGTGATGGAGGATGATGCGGCGGTTGCAGTTCTCTTTACAGAGTTCGGAAATGACCTGTGGCAAACAAATGCTAGCATACCATCCTGCATTAACCGTTCTTTGTCCCTCAGTAGTTAGGTAGGAATAGTTGTAACATGGCCGGTTTTGGAGACAAACGTGGCCACCATTTTTTTTGTAACACTCCGTGAACGAACAATTTTTGTTGGCTTTAACTCATTTTCGAACACCCGAACTCGTGACTGGTTTTTTGTTTCGGGTTCGTACGTGTATATCCAGGATTCGTCACCTGATACGATGTTGTATACAGCATTTGAAGATCCTAAGTGGAATATTTCGAGAGTTCTGACGAACCAAGTAACGCGAGCCGCTTTTTGCTCTTCACAGAGCGATTGCGGTATCCATCGGGAAAACAACTTTTTTACACCTAATTGTTCATGCAAGATTATTTGTATTTGACTCATGCCAATGTCTAAAGTTGCCTGAATTTCGCGGTATGTCACATGTCGATCTTTCTCAATCAGCTTACGTACAGCATCAACGTTTTCTTGGGTGACTGCAGTTTTTGGACGACCTTGACGGGGATCATCACTGAGCTTGACACGTCCACGTTGAAATTCAGCAAATCAGCGATAAATTGTGGTTTTAGGTGGGGCTTCATCACCAAATGCAGAAATCATCCGGTCAACACACTGTTTTTGTGTTAAACCACTTTGTAAGTCATAATAAATCATCGCTCTTGAATTTTCTCAATAATGAAGGCTGCAGCCTCTGTATAAAAAGAAAAGAAAAAGAGGACCATCTGAGAGTTCCTGTTCTGTCTGTTTTTTATTAAACCAGACCAAATAATTGGCGGCAATCATGTGAAGGGTGAACTCCTCAGACTTGCTATGGGAATCAACACGTCTTGCGCTCTCCTCAAGAGTCATTCGCCAAACATACAGAAAAGCAAAATAGGTGTTAATCAAGTTCTACTAACAATGTAAAAATGTAAGAATTAGGAATAGATTAACCCCCGCCATATTTAGCATTATGTAATTTGTTTTCTTATTTCTTACTTGACTTATATAAAGAAGAAAACGATCAAATAAAACATTATTACTTATGTTTTACCGTAAAGAAAGTTGTTTTTATATTAAGAAATAATAGCGGTGGACGAATATCCGTGGATGTTCGTCCACGATGTTGCCCGTGGGCTTAGTAAGGGTGGCAGAGGAAAACAGATCAGGAGGTGGGCAGCAGCGTTTTCCTAATACTACAAAATAAAGAAACAACTAGAAATTAAAAAGCTACGGTTGCCAGCCCGCTTGCCAAGCGAACAAAATAGGCCTAAGGAGGCCTTTGGCAGTAGTGGACTTTGATAGACTGTGATGATGGTGATGATAATGACTTGTCACGACATAACACGTGTTCGGAGCAAAACATTTTCTTCGTCTTTCGTATGGCGTTCAGGAATAGAGTGGAGTAATTTGCCAGCACCTGTCTTTTCATACGATTACAATGTGGGTGTTTTCAAGGCAAGAGTAAATAGGCGTTTGTCAACCTAAATCATTGGGCTTAACCATCTTCGGCAACATTACTGTGTAACATCAGGTGGGATAGTCAAGAACGATCTTATATAATAATTAAAAAATAATAGTTGGAGAATTTGATTAAAGTATCCTGAGAAATATCTATACTTAGTTAAAATTGTAAGTTTATTTATAATTACAAAAGCATGTTATTGTGCTAGAAGAAACACAAAACAACATAATAACAAATATTACGAAAGTCTACCATTGTTGTAAAATATTCTTTCGCGATAAAAATCAACAAAGGCGTGTTTCTTGTAATTTATTTGTATTTACTGAATATCCTCAGATATTTTGATGAAATCGCTATAGGAAACCCTTCATATGCTTCTAATTGTAGCAGCCTTTGATCAAAGAACGAAATTAATACAATTTATATTTATTAATTTGTTCATATTAAACAAAGCAAAAATTTTAAAGGCATTAAATAAAAGCGGCCCAAGAGCGTTTTCCGGTCCCGTGGAGAAGGTGCTTAAATGGCACAAGTCTTTACAAGAAGTGGGTATTTTGATACTTTATGAAATTGTTGGTGAGTTGACATTTTATTCTTATTTAAAAATATATACATCTTATTCAATTTAAAAATATAAACACTCACGCTTGTTATCCAGAGGCGTAGGCAGAGGGTATGGACTTACATTACTAATTCTATTTCTGGATGTAAATTTCTGTCATTTCCCAGTATTGGACGCATCCTATATTAAGCATTATTATTATAAAAGTAAGGGAGACAAATGAGCATATAGTTTACGTGATGGGAAGTGGTTGTGTCCTTTAAGTATTAAGTAGTAAAAAGTACAAAGTGAGGGCGATGTCTCCCCGATTCAGCCGACGTATTAATATTGTAGCCATAATTGAAGCGACAGTAGCCTAATGGTAACGTAAAAACATTGTTCTTCAGTAATTATCACGATAGTCATTTCAGAAATAATTGTTCTGTTATACGTGATGCAATTTTCAGAATGAGATCTATAGGGACAAAATAATTAAAAAGTATTGGGAGATATAGTGGATAGGAATAATACAGTAAGAATATAAAATTTTCCTTTTAATAATGAAAGTCACAAACCTGTTTAGAATCAAGCAGAGGATCAAAATTATTAATTTAAATCTGAAGATTACTCCGATTAAATCTGACGATAGGACAAACACCTCGATTATCACGTGTGATTTATTAATAAGTTAATTTACACGTTATCGTGTTCGATAGTTAATTCTTGAAAAATATTCTAAAACAATTTTTCTTGAAAAATATTCTATGTGTAGTACCTCTTTCTTGATATTAAGACGTAAATAGCAGGCAAAAGGCCGCGGGACTGCCTTAATGCGTCTTGACATATTTTAGGTATTCTTAGATATGCAGGTTTCTTGGCGATACCGCTTTCACCCCTCAGTATGTGGTGTATCAGCACTTAAAATTGCAATGAATAATTTTATTTGGGATGCTCCCCAACTTGTTTTACTTGCATACAATGTAAAACTACCTCGACTTACTGACTAGCTAAACTTTTTTCTATATTACTACTATAATAATACAGAAAATATAAGTACTTATAATATTACTTAAAACACCCAATCTTCTTCTGAAACCATAACCATAAATCCTTCTCAACCTTTAATTGATTTATTTTAGACAAAACGTTGTCGTGTGGTGGCGATGAAAGAGAATCCATCATTTGATTTTGTTACAAAGGTGTTTTAAAAGATGACTATGGAAAATGCCAGATAAATCAAAAATCAAATCAAAAAAATCAATCAACTGCTTTAAATAGATGTCGTTATAACTGACTCATTTTTTTTCAAAGATTACGACAAATCCTTCCTACCACGGGATAGGCCCATGTTTCAGTAGTAGATTTTTACAGGCTGATAAAGAATTAAAATTAAAGAGGAACGTTATATAGTATTATATGTTTTATATTAAAAAATTTCAGCTAAATGTGTTAGTGTGCGGTCAGGAGATCCTTGCGCTAAAACCTTAGTAGTAAGAGACGAGAACGGTCCAGCTATGCAAGTTGTTTATTACGAAATTGACTTCTTATTGCCTGAATTGAAGTTACCGTGCATGGTTAGGTGCGTAATGTTTTCAATTATCTTATTTCATTACTATTTTATTATTTTTATTACTTTAATATAATAATTCGTTGTTCATTCTTTCATTGGTTACAGCCTATCAAAAGTTCACTGTTGAGATATACCTTGCCGGCAGTTTGTTTCATCAAGGGAATGTTTTCCATAGCTGCTATACTTAGCTGGCGGGCAAGCGCAGTTTTTTATTATTTGGGCTCTTAACAGGAACATGCTGCTGCCCAAATTCTGTTTCCGTTTTTCCCTGTTACCTTTTTAGTTTTTAATTCCATTACTAGGCAGACGTTTTTAAGAACGATTTCACATTGTACGATTCTAAAAATATTTCTTTAAAGAGTGTGACTCTCGCATTCGTCGTCGACGGATTTTATCGCGTTTAATTTAAACGGAAATATCAGGGAATTAAAACAAATAAAACTAATTAAATTAAATGCGTTAAAACGTAAAAAACGAAGTAGAACCAGAGTGACCGACATAGTCCAACGGATTAGTAAGCTGAAATGACAATGGTGTGGGCATATAGCTCGAAGAACCGACCACAGCTGGGAAAAATATGAGGGGGGGGGGGTGCTAGTGTGGCAGCCTCGTACCGATAGGTGAAGAATAGAGCGACCCCTCACTAGATGGAGTGATGAACTGGAAAGACATGCAGGAAGTCGATGGATGTAAGTAGCTCGGGACCGTACTTTGTGGCATTCCTTGGGGTAGGCCTATGTTCTGCAGTGGACTTGGGAAGGGCTGTAATGATGATGATGATAACGTAAAATTATTTTTACTTTAATCTGTAGTATTCGTGCAAAATATAATAAACAATATCATAGTATACCAGGTGTGATCATTACATATGTTTTTTTTAATCTTTCATACTAAAATGTTTTATACATATATATGTTTATATTAATCGGCTTTTTATAAGTGTAAGTCCTCATATTTCGAATGTTTAAAATATGAAAAATCATTCATTTTTGTTATGAATTCAAGTATGGCGTACGTACGTGCAGTATATCTATTAGTAAAATAATATAATGTTAATAAGCAAGGTTCGAAAAAACAAATGATTTTCTTACATGCTCAAACTGAAGCTTGAAATCTAGGGTCTGCTCGTCATCAATATTCATAAAGCCATTATGTCAATTTGGAAAATCATAGATAGTATAGTATATATTGGTGATGGAGTGATTAGGGCCAGATCAAAATCGAAATACTCCAGTGTGCGTGGAATGTAAATGAGTGTGTGATAAGTGTTGCCGGATCATACATTGCCTGCCTCAACTTCAATTATCGATAACAATTGCAGTATATTCATGTCTTCCTATTTTGACGCAGATGATTTAAGGAATATTTTTACCCTACTACGGCGAATTCAAAAGGATGTTTACAATTTTTAGAAGGCAATGTATGTATGTTTGTTTATCTGTTTGTACAGATCTTCTAAACTACTCATCGTAATTTGACAAATTAGACATCTTTAAAAACATTGTGCCTTTTGGTTTTAAGCTGCGTGAAATCTTATAAAAACTAATATAGCGGCTTATTGCGTACGTGAAATATTGAAATACATACAATATTAAAAACTATAATAAAGAAATGTTGTGAGCTTTTGTTTTTTTACGTGGTTGAGTCACGCTGCAAGTATATTATGGTTGCATCCCGAATGGTTTGGTTCGACTGGAGAAGGACCACGTTATCACAGAATAGCAGCGTAAAGTAGCAGCCCAATGCTATTGTGTTACATATGGTGAGTGTAGAGAAACGACTCATTTTTATCGAACGACGAATTATTACCTTCGTTTATAAACGAAGCATTTTATCTTAGTCCTCAGGGGTGGCAACGTACCTGCATTTTAATTCTTAATCGAGGATTGATGTATATGTAAATGAAAAAATATTTTTTGGAAACCGTTTTTCTTTATTCATTATTTTTAACTATTTTTGTCGAACATCAATGTATTGTGAAAATCTCCTACAGCATCCTCTTACAATCAGGTGGACTGTGTGCTCGTTTGTCACCTTAATACTAATTAAAAATCATATGATTGGAAGAATATTTACATACGGAACCCTAAAAGTAAAAAAAAAACTAAATTGAATAATGCTGCATGCAAGGCGTAACTTTTCCTGTTAAGGACATTTCGATAAGATATTATGGATAAAGTCAATCTCTGCAAAAGTGAAGTTAAAATGAGAATTTCACTTATTTGTAATTATTATAAATTATATATTAATTATTATTATGCAAAATATTATTATTAACAATAATTATTATAAAATGTGGTAATTTTTCCCATCCATTTGGAAATACAAGTCGGATTTGTTTTGATCACGAATGACGCCAGGCCGATACAGTCCGATAGCGTGTACGTGAATGGCCTAGTCTATCTTTATCGCTCTTACATACACGAACACTATGCTCTTTTTCTTTTGCATTGTTAATCTATTCTTACGTTAGTTTATACAAAATTTATGGTTCAAATCATTTTCAAATAAAAACGTTTCTTAGTAATAGTAGATAGTACCAATTAATTGTAGTACTTAGTACTACAGATTAGTATAAAAAACTTGTAAGGAGCCGTGGCAGCTCAGATAGTTAGTGCCCACTGTAAAATTCACAGTACGCGAGGAAACCGGGTGCTATACCCGCCGGCACCAATGAAATTGTTAATTGCAATTTTAAGTACGACGAGCACGTGGTAACGTGCTTGTCGGTGAAGGAAAACATCGTGAGGAAACCCACATGTCTTAAAAATAAGAAAAACATATTTCGAAGACATGTGAAGTTCGCCAACACGCATTGGGGCAGCGCAGCGGACAATTCCTTGCCCTAAAACCCTCTCAGAAATGAGCGGAAGCCTGTGTCCAGGATTGAAGGTATATAGGCTGTAACTTTAACTTTTTTAACTTTTATGGCAAACCTTCTTTACGGCCAACTAAAATAACTATCTAATAAAAAATGAGCAGTTTATACCACATCTATTATTTGATTTTTGAATTCAGAGTAATAGGCCGCATGTTGTATGGAACATGTCGTCTGCAAGCGTTTCACGTGCGTCCAGCGACTGGAGACGATGTCGCGACATTACCGCGCCGTGCTGCAGTCGCACAGCACCACGTCACCAAGCTCTGCAAGGAGTACACCCTTACGAACTGAACATTGCCAATTGATTTGTGTTGATTAACAAAATTCTATAATTAATTGAATACATAATATCATTTTTAATTAACATTATAATTAAATAAAGAAAAGTTTGTATGGTTTTCTTATTTATTCCGATAACTCAAACCTTGTAAATAGATCCGTAACATATTGTAGGTACATATATTCTTATACGTACGTTTTATGGTGTTTTTCAGCAATGTATAAAGTAACAAAATAAACAATATATTCCAAACAATATTATATTTTAAGCCGAGCACATGGTATATTAGCTATTATTTTAATTGGTTTCAGCGGGAATCTAAATCGGCCTGCATGCGTTACTAACATGAGTGAAATTTAAAGTCGTGTTAATATCCTTAACTTTTTTGATACAGTAAATGTGCTATTTAATTAATAATAATAATAATAAATAACGTTTATTAGCAACCAAATACGTCTAATTACAAAGGAGCTCTGTCTCCTGTACTAGGTTATTACCTGTATCTCACGAAACAGTGCCTTTTCTAATTCTTAGTTCTAGGTCTATATTCGGCAAGTACATAAGACGATTCCTTATTCTTTAATTAAGATTAGTATAAAGCGGTTACTGTTTAATGTGTTGTTTATGTGCGGATGTGTGTGGTGTGCGTGTGCGTGTACGTGTGCATGTGCGTGTGCGTGTGTGTTTGTGTGTGAGTGTGAGTGTGTGTGTGTGTGTGTGTGTGTGTGAGCGCGTGCGCGTGTGTGTGCGCGAGCGAGTGCGAGTGCGTGTGCGTGTGCGAGCGCGTGTGCGTGTGCGTGTTGCGTGTGCGTGTGCGTGTGCGTGTGCGTGTGCGTGTGTGTGTGTGCGTGTGTGTGTGTGTATGTGTGTGTGTGCGTGAGCGCGTGCGCGTGCGCGTGCGCGTGCGAGTGCGAGTGCGTGTGCGTGTGCGTGTGCGTGTGCGTGTGCGTGTGCGTGTGCGTGTGCGTGTGCGTGTGCGTGTGCGTGTGCGTGTGCGTGTGCGTGTGCGTGTGCGTGTGCGTGTGTGTGTGTGTGTGCGTGTGCGTGTGCGTATGCGTATGCGTGTGTGTGTACAGAGTGTGTCTGTGCGTGTTTTAATAATTATATTTTATTTAGATATTAGATTATTTAGATATTGTAATGTTATTTTGATATTGTAAGAAGATTTTCAGTTTGGACATACCTAGTCAAGATTTTGCAGCCATTTCAGTACATATTTTTTTAAATCTATTGGTGCTTAAAGTTATAAAGCTAACAATATTCTCGGTGGGAATTTTATTATAAATGTATAGTGCTATAAAACTGAAGTGTCGTTGCATAAAGGTAGTTCTGGTTATGGATATAGGGCACCGAAGTCTTCTTTTACTGGTTAGTGGTAGTGAGTTGGCAGTTACATGGTGGTATCTCAGAAGAGCTTGAATTATAAACAACTAGTGAACTGAGAGTACCTGAGTCTCGCTGTAGACTTTATCAGTAGAATGTCGGTATGGTAGGTGCATTAGTATTTTTGAAATTGCTCTTTGCTCTTCTTTTGGTGCGCTACCCCACGTCGTCACACAATATTTAATGATACTTTGGCAGAGCGCTTTATAAGTTTGAATAAGATTTTTTTTACTAGCGCTGTTCTTAATTGTCTGAATATATGTATATATATATATATATATATATATATATATATATATAAATATGTGTAACATTGTGTAGTGTGTGGTAGTAGTAGTAGTATTCTGGTTTTGTGTACATAAGAAAAAAAATTGCTTTTTATAAAGTAGTAATCGGCCTTTGAAATGATAGGTTATCGTATGATTAACTTTTATACAATTAAACTTATTTTCTACTCCCAAATACTAACTTGATCATGCAAAAAATTCAAGTAAATAGTCATTTTTCCCTGAGTTTTTGTAGATCAGCTTCGCAATCAATACGCATTTTTTTCATACCCGTATGTTTCGAATCTCTGTAATGGCACATTTTTGAGTTCTCTCCATGGATTCTATCTTTTTTCGAGTTTTCGAATATGTTTGAGTTGTTCTCGTTTCTCTTTATATAGAGCAGTAATTTTTCCCTTATCATACTTATAATATTATTATAAATGCGAAAGTGTGTTTGTTTGTTTGTTTGTCCTTCTTTCACGTCGCAACAGAGCGTCGGCATGGCATGATTTTTTGTATGGGGATAGTTCGGTGGCTGTAGAGTGACATAGGTTACTTTTTTCCGCGGAAAAACATCTAATCCCGCTGGGAAAATCGAATATGTTGCACAAGTTTGTCCTTCTTTCACGTCGCAACAGAGCGTCGGCATGGCATCATTTTTTGTATGGGGATAGTTCGGTGGCTGTAGAGTGACATAGGCTACTTTTTTCAGCGGAAAAACATATCATTCCCGTGGGAAAATCGAATATGTTGCAAAATTAAATTCAGCTAGGTGGCGCCACCGTGATTCTACAAGACGGACGATGGTACGATGGACGAACACAGAAGGTCAAAATATCTGGATTATTATGTCTACGTAAACGTATGTATACGTAAAAATGTATGGATCTGTATTTTTACACGCAGGACCGGGAAGAGAGCGATAAAAAACATAAAATTCACCAGCTGATTTTCTTCAAACGTTTTGGTGCATTGTAATTCACAGAATAGGCGATAACCTCGCAGACGATATTAAGTAATCCGTTGATGCTCTGCCTACCCCGCAAAGGTTACAGGCGTGATTATAAGTATGGATCAGAAATACTATCACCGCCTGTCACGCTTTCACACTTAACTATTACTTAACTGTGGTAGAAACAGTTCTTAGTAAGCCTTATTAATAAGCCTTAGTAATATTTATTGAACGTAAATGAATACAGTTCTTATATGTGGTTATGAATGAATCGGTATTAAAATAAGAAAAATTGTGGAAAATTATAAGAAAAATATTTTTTCAGAGTTCTTATTAACTAACGTATACATAGTTCAAATTGATTCCGCTCGATGTCGTTACTAGGTTTTTAAACCGCAGTAAAGAAATGTTTCCTGACATGTACTTAACTCCCGCCGTTGAGCCGCGCGTCAACTTATAGTGCATGCGGTACCTATACGCTTAAATTGTTTCTATTTCGTAGCTTATTCGACTACCTGCTTTCGATTTCGGTTGTTTGTTATTTGCTTTGTGATTTGGTTAAGGTTGAATGGATTTATATTGGCTTTCATTTTCGGATTTGTGTATTTTCTTGGATCGGTTTTGTTGATTTGGTTGGTATTCCTTTATACATATTTAGACTCTGGCTTTGATTTTTGATTTTGTTTATTTCATAAAACGTATAGAGCAATCGTGAATTGGTTTTCGTTGTTTTAGGTTGTTTAACAATATTTCAAAGGAATATTAATAGTATAGATAGTGTATACGGTACCTATACACTTACTTCTTTTTTCGTTGGTTATATTTATATTCACTACTGCTTTCGATTTCGGTTTTCTGCGATTTGTTTTGTGAAGTTGATTCGATTTTTTTTTGGCTATCGTTTTCGGATTCGTGTTGTGTCTTGAATTGGTTTTGTTCCTTTTAGATATTTTGGTTTTGATTTTAAAAAATATTTAAAAGGAATATTAATTCCTTTTAGATATTTTGGATTTGCTTTTAAAAAAATATTTAAAAGGAAATTTAATTCCTTTTAGGTATTTTAACGTTTTTTTTATAAATAGGTTTTTTGTTACTTCATAATGCCTCGCGAACGTAAGTCCAGCCTTTCAAGAGTATCTTCTCAAAGAAAAGCGAAAAGATTAGCTCGATCGCTAGAATCTTTAGAAGATGCTGAACTGAGAAGGCAAGAACAAGCAGAGCGTCAGGCTGCTTTTAGAGCATCTGAGACACCTTCTTAACGTCAGCAAAGGCGTCTTGAACAGACAGAGCGTCAGGCTGCTTTAAGAGCTTCCGAAACACCTTCTCAAAGTCAGAAAAGGCGTCTTGAACAGGCAGAGCGTCAAGTTACTTTAAGAGCTTCTGAAACACCTTCTCAAAGTCAGCGAAGGCGTCTTGAACAGGCAGAGCGTCAAGCTACTTTAAGAGCTACTGAAACACCTGCTCAAAGTCAGCAAAGGCGTCTTGAACAGGCAGAGCGTCAATCTACTTTAAGAGCTACTGAAACACCTGCTCAAAGTCAGCAAAGGCTATTCGAACAAGCGGAACGTCAGGCCGCCTTAAGAGCCGCGGAAACACCTGATGAAACTCAACACAGACTCATTGAGCAAGATGAACGTCAATCTACTATAAGGGTATCTGAAACACCAGAACAGACACAGGCGCGAAGAGATACAAATGCACAGCTCCAAGCTGAACGTCGACAAAATTTTCAAAGAAACAATTGGTCGGTTTTTAATGACGCAGCATTCAACTATGATCCGTTGATTGATTATAAAAATCACAGGTTAGTTGTTATCGGACTGATGGACAAGGCGTGTCGATTTTGCAGCGGTTTAAAATGGAAAGATGAGACCGCAGGCATGTGCTGTTCCAATGGCAAAGTGTCTCCTCCGTTACTTGGGGAACCAGAAGAACCTTTGAAAACTTTCTTTTTATATGTTGCTAATGAGTCACGGCGCTTTTTAACAGGATGCGAAAATATAACTCATGCTTTCAAATGACGTCCTTCGGAGTTGACAGGGAAATAATAATGCTGGGATTTTCGCCTACATTTACGGTGCAAGGGCAAATTTATCATAGAATAGGTTCACTTTTTCCAGCTGAAAACGAACAGCATAAATTTTTACAAGTATATTTTATGGGTGACGAAGAAATTGAGGTAGACCGTCGCTGTCAATTTATCCAGGGAGTTGAGAGAGACACAGTGTTCAAAATTCAAAGATTCTTGCATGAACGTAACATTTTAGTCAAAACATTTAAAACTGCTTTAGAAAACCTACCTGAAGAGGATTATAAAGTCGTCATTCACGCAGATCGGACCCCTCGAGGAGAGCATGAAAGGCGCTACAATGCACCTTTGATAAACGAAATAGCAGCCGTAATTAGT